CCCCCCCGAGACGCTTCAGGACACAAACAAACAGACCGAAACAAAATGGAGGAGCAGGAGGTGGAGGAATAAAAACATTCAAACTGGAGCTGAGCCATCAATGTCAGTGAAAGTAAGACACATCTCAGCTCTGACCTCGCTGAGCTGAAGGAGCGACAAGGAGAAGATGATGTCCAATTATTCATAGCTACGCAGCGTGCTGGAGAGGACGAACGTGACTCGGATCATGTAAATGTTCATTCAAAGCATTTCCATTTCCATAATATGTTTTGAATTTTCACACCCTAAACGTCTCGTGGCTGCAGGGACGTTTGATTCATGGAAACGCTGTGAATCGCTGTGTTTCCATTCAGCATCTGCTGATCAGGGTTTGTGGTTACTTCAGGTCAGCTGGGAAATGCAGGGGATAATAATAATAATAATATTAATAATAATAATAATATTAATAATAATAATGATGATGATAATAATAATGGATTGCATTTACATAGCGCTTTTCTGGGCACCCAAAGTGCTTTATAATTCTGACTGACCTGATTTTTGTTTCTGAGAGAAATGAGAGCCACATAGGAGGACATTTGTTTTAAATTTTGATAGAACAGTGGCAGTATACTGTCTTCGTAACTGGATATCAAGCCCTTGTAGAGCAGAATGTATTATTTTGGTCTAGACATCCCACAAATGTGATGTCCACATATGTGGACGCCAGTTCCTAGCAGGTTAAGACAGAGCTCCGTTTGTATTTGAAATGAAACCACACTCAGTGATGTCTTTCAGGCTCCATCCCCAGTAAACATGTGACTCTTTAAAATGAAATAAAAGAGGACCTAAAATAAATGATGATGCTAATAAAGTTTTTTATGAACAGAAACGGATGACATCAGTGATGAGTTCAGGTGCAGCTGGGTAATCTTCAGACTGCAGTTCAGGTCCCATTGAACAGAGCTGAAGAGAAAGTGTGTGAGGAGGCGCAGAGGAAGGCACTCAGTCGGGTACAGTGATTAAAGTTGTCCAGAGGGGCAGGGCCAACCTGCAAGCGACGAGTAAATCGGAGCCGACGGCGAGGTTGCCGTGGTTCTGCCGTGTTGTTGTGTTGCTGCCTGTGTATCTGTTGCCGTAATGTTGTGTTTTGTGATGTCTTGATGCTGCCTGTGTGTCTGTGTTGATGTGTGTCTGTGACTGTGTTGTTTATGTCTGTGTTGTTGTGTGTCTGTTTTGCCATGTTGCTGCCTGTGTCCGTGTTGTTGTGTCTGTGTTGCTGCATGTCATCATTAAATCGTGAGCTCTTGTGTTTGTTCAGATGTTTCTGATCAGATCCCGAGTCTCTGGTTGCTCGGTAACGCCCTCTAGTGTATTTCTGGCTCCTGTCAGGTCAGTTTGTAGCTCCTCCCTCTGCTAGCGTTTCTTTGTGATTCTTTTTTTTTTATATATATTTTTTTATTCATTTGAACCCAAACAGAGAGGAGGAAGGACCTTCATCTTCCTCACTTTTTAAATCTTTTCCTCCCCTCAGCAACTCCTCCTGCTGTCTGCCCTTTCTCCTCCTCCTGTAACTCCTCCTCCTCCTCTTCCTCCTCATGTTTCTGTTCAGCTCTGCAGTCACAGTTTACAGATGTGGGGCATTCAGGGCACTTTAGAGCTGCAGGAAAACTCAACCTCTTCTCTTTCATCCGCTTTTTGTTTTTGAGGACGTTTGTTGAGCCCAGCGTTCAGGTTCAATGGGGTATCAGAGGACCATGTGGCGCAGTCTGACTGGAGGAGGAGGAGGCGATGTAGCTCTGGTCAGGTGTTTCTGCTCAGAGGAACAGGTGAAGATCTCTTTCAGGAGTGTGGAGGAGGATCGGCGGCTCAGACGAGTGTTTGTGCGCCGCTGGTTTGGTGAGTCGCCGTCAGATGGTCCCTGAAAATCTCAGACTTTTTTCCTGATGCAGCATTTTGGATGGAGTGAGGTCTCAGAGACTGTTTTCTAGTGTCAGAGGTTTGAATAAAGCTCATTAGTGTTAAAGCTATGAGCGGAGTGGATAATTTATTTTTTTATTTTTTTATTTTTTTTTAAACAAACACGTTTTTCTTCACAGGTGTTAAACGGAGCAGGTGAAGAGGTTTCAGATGTTTTCAGCACATTTCTCTCCTGTTTGTTTGAGTTTTTATTCTGGTTTCAAACTCTGGTCAGGGTCCTAGAAAAGCTGCTCTTCCTGTTGGTCCAACGGTTGCAGAGGTCAAAGGTCAACCCTGTGTGTGTTTGAAGGTGTTTGAATGTAAACTCTGAGCTGTGACTGGCCCACCAGGCCTCATATCACATCCATAAACTCACTCCCTTCCTGTCTGGTGAGTAAACGCCTCCCTGGCTGCAGAATGGCAGGAAGCCAAAGAGCTAACGGACTAGTGTGTGTGTGTGTGTGTGTGTGTGTGTGTGTGTGTGTGTGTGTGTGTGTGTGAAGCTGTTTTCATTCAAACACGCACTCCTCCTCCCCTCCTTCTCCTGTGTTCCCTCTCAAGGAGGCTCTGTGTTTTGGCTTCTGAGATTCCTGTCATGTGGGAGGAAGTGAACACAGCGTGAAACCCTCCAGCTGAGCTGCTCTTCGGAGCCGGAAGAGGTCCGTCTGATCCTCCCGCTGAAAGTCCTGCAGGGTTAATTTACTTCACCCACAGCTTCACATTAAAGGCTTTTAACTGACTTTTATTCTGAAGGAAATTCAGGAAACTGTGTTTGTGTCTGAGTTTGTTGAGTATTGGACAGAGGATCCGTTTGAAATGATTCAGACCTGAGCTGCTGTTGTGTTCAAGTGCAGTTTGTAATGTGTGTGCAGCGAAGCAGAGAGGACAGGTCCGAAAGCTGGTTACCCCCTGCCTTTGTGTGCCTGCTTTTCCACCTGTTGGGGAGCATGCTCTGTCTGTGTTCTGAAGTCAGGTTTGATAGTTCTGTGCATGTTTAACGGGAACATCAGAGACGGTGGCAGCAGGAACTTCCTGTCTGAGGAGCGCTCTGCTGTCCTACTGTTGTCGTCCACATGTTGAATGTGTGTGTCTGTGTCTCAGGTGGACTGTCGGTGTCGCTGCTCTTCAGATATTTAGCCAAACCCTCAGAGGACTGGTTAGCCGGTACGTGCGCCAACCAAATCTCTCAGTATGCGATTCCAAGAAATCTGTCAATGAAGCTAAACCAATTAATCAAAAAGTAATCAATGACTATCGCTGATCTGCTACATGCTGATTTCACTGAAAGAGTCTGTGGGAACCTGCTGTGATTGGCTGGTTGGACCATGCTTGAACACCTGATCCGAGAATCTGGTTACATACATGAAACACGAATGTATAGCTTCCACTTTCTCACAGTGTCATACCTGTAAACATCTGCCAGCATCAGCAAGTAACTGCACAGCAGCCATGTTGTTATTGTCATGATGATATCATGAAACTCATCCTAAAGGATAAAACAGCACAAATAAGACAGCTAGCAGCTACACCCATCTGTGTAACCATGCACCTGTAAGTCATAGAGGCCACGCCCCTGATAATGCAAACTCTCAGTCTTCATACACTAAACAGGTGAGTTATTGACTACAGGTGTTTTGAAGATAGATCAAAATGTTTTTTACAGGCTGTAAACATGTTTATGTTAATATGGGAGTCAATGGGGACTGACTCACTGCTGCCTATGCTGGACACCAGAGGAACTATAGGTCGATGGAAGAAATGGGCGTTTGAGGCGTTTCACTTTGAAACTCCCGGAGCGCGAACCACCTGATGAGTCAGTTCCTGAACATTTGATTCCCAGCCAAGCAGCCCGCATGTACATGTTGAAATGTTGCTCATTCGTTCAGTTGCTTCACACAGTACAAACTGTTTCTTCACTGTAAAAACCTCTAAACACATTTGGATTCCTGACATTCCTCAGGTGTGGTTAATAGGCCACAACCTGTCCAGATGTTTGCAGCTGTGGATGTGAGGCGTGAGTGTTTCCTCAAAGTGAATTCAGACTCCAGGACCAAAATAACACACTGCTTTATCTGTCTTTGCGGACAAACATTCATCATGTTCTAACTTCTCCTTACACAAGCTTTTATTGTGAAACTCTGCTCTCACTCTGACAGTGGAAAAACCTCAGTGCTTTTATTGTGAAAGGTGATGATGTAGAAGTTTGGTATCAGTGACATCATCTCTCTCCCTCCCCTCCTCAGAGTCCCCCCGCCTGTCCACCGCCTCCATCAGCAGCGATGAGCGTGCTTCATCGTCCACACCCTCCGACTCCTCCGACCTGCTGGCATCTTACCGGCGCCCCGTGAGCCTGATCTCCACTTTGTCCTCCGGGTCTGGATCTTCCAGAGACGACAACCTTGCGCTGCCTTCATCTATCACCAGCTCCTCCTCGGACCCTGACATCAACCTTAACCTGAGCCCCGAGGAGGTCGCCGCAGACCTCCAGGGGTCGAGCCCCCAACCCAACAGGAAGGGGCGGAGCTTCATTCACAACAAAAACAACAACAACAAAGACTGGAAGGCGAGTCGTACCTTGAGCCGCCGGCAGCCGGCTTCACCGTTTATCCGCGCCAGCATGGCGCCCAACCCTCAGCTGACCTACCTAGACCGCGTCGTCATGGAGATCATCGAGACAGAGAGGATGTACGTGAGAGATCTGCGCATGATCGTGGAGGTGAGTTACCTAACTGCGTGACCCTATAGGTGTCATGGTAACAGGTGTGGGCTCTACGGGCTCAAATTTTTCACTGATGTGGATGGTTGGTCATTGTGGTTGCCTAGGTAGCCACCTGTCCAACCATATCCTTTATTCTCATTGGTAGTTTAACTCAGTACCACCTCCTGAGTTCCTGGAATTCTGTTGCCGAATACCTGGAACATCGATCGCTGCTCGCTAGCGGCGGGTTCAGGACGAGTCAAGTTTGCTTTGATCACGCTCGCTGATGGTTTGACGCTTTATCCTGAAACTATCTCTAAAGTAACTTCAGGCGCTAAGCTTTTCTCTGAAAGTCTAGTCTGTGATCTCATGAAAACACCTGGATGTCCACAGAGGGTGGCGGTGGATGATCCCAGGATCATTTCCATGGTGTAGAACATGAAGTAGAAACACTTCCATCCTTGGCGTCTTATTTTCAAACGATGATCAGTGACCATGGAGCTGGACAGGGTTTGGTTTTTAAGCTGCTGATGCATGAGCTTCTCATCCTTTAGTTTTAATCTAAACTCACCAAGGTAAAACTGTCTGAACTTCAAACATTTCATTTCTATTCTGAAAGCACGCAGGACAAAAATTGACCCATTTTTCTTAGTCTGAACATTTTGGGCTCGTGAAACATACGCGTTTCCTGAACACATCTCCACGTACAGAGGACAGCTCGCGGTGTCAGTCGTTACCCCGGCCATGACTCAGTGCCAGACTATAATTAACAAGCTAAGACGTTCTGCAGTGATGGGATTAGCTGCTTATGTAACAGGCTCACCGAGCTGCACACACCTGTTTCAGTGTCTGAAGTACGACTCAATCAAACCAGGCTGTTTAAAAAAACTTAGGAAAACAAAAAAACAAACCAGTGAAGGAGCAACGGATACGACAGAAATACTCTAACAGATATTTATTATGATTTATTTACCAAGGTTTCAGAGAATAACAAAGACCTGTCCTTATAATAAAATAATAACAAGTTTTAGGCTCTAAAAAAGCTCTAAGTGAGATAGAATATTTAATATGAAATCAGTAAACACATCAGACATACGAGTTTTCTCCATTTTTAAATATTTAAAAATCAAGTAAACTCTGACACATTAAACATAAACTGATACACAGATTTTAAAGTTCAGTTTATAAAAATAAACATAATTATGTAATCACTTTTATTTAAAACAATAAATGTGTTTATGTACAGTGGGGCAAAAAAGTATTTAGTCAGCCACCGATTGTGCAAGTTCCCCCACTTAAAATGATGACAGAGGTCAGTAATTTGCACCAGAGGTACACTTC